TTATGAGATTTACAGGCAATTGCTTTCACTTTTTTGTTACATATCTTTTGGTTTATGTCCAAGTTTTATCTTTGTTCCTTGAATAATTATCCAGTTGGTCGTCGCAAAGGCTGCAGAGGACCGTAGTCTGGAAAAACTACTTTTCTCTGGGCTAGGAAAAATGTAACGGAATAGTATTCTTAAGACTTTTTAAGCCAAGATTTTTATTTTGTTTTCTATAAGTCACATAAGTTTCATCAGATAGTTCTGATATAAATTTCACATGCTGGATGCCTTTTTCGCTCGTGCTATTAAAGAAATACTGTCATTTCCTTGTTGAAACTGCTATAGAGGGCGAAATTGGCTTTACTATAGTGGATTATCCTTCCATTATAACATGTTAGTTTTGTTCCTAATAAACTCAGGATTTGATATATGAATCCATTTCCTTTAATTTGTTGAGTTAATTCTAGGTCCAATGGAAGATCTAAAAGAGCTAGATCTTTCAAAACTACTACATGCCATGTTAGTTCTGGTTTCTCCCGCGTTCATTCTTTGCCTTGGTGGGATAATTCAAACAAACATCACACAGATTTTATGGCTTTATTGGAAACCTACCAAACAATTCCACACTAACACATTAGAATGTTATATATTTATCAATCTTATATGCCACATACGAGTACAAGTTGTTTCTCTGCTATATTAAATTTGTATGATATGTTGGCGGAGACCTTACCTTGGCCTATAGCTTACTGTCTTTGCTGACATAAAAAACGTAACAATTTGACAATGGACAATTAGAGAAAAAAGGAACGAGAGAGAAAAAGGGGTTTTGAAGAAAAAGAAGATTTAAGGCAAAATAAAATCGAGTTATTTCATATATTCGATGGCACCTATTACAAGGTATAAACTCTCTTTATATAGAGCAAAGAAGCTAAAATCAAAAGAATATCTAATAAACTAGAATTTCATCAAATTAAAAAATAATATAATCTAACCTAAACAAATATAATTTTGAATCAAACTCTACTTTTGAAATCCTGTCTCTATCTCCATTATTTGCCTTTTCTGATAGTCAAACTTCAACTTTTATGTCACCCACTGTGACAAGCATTAAAATTTTATAGTAGCAATGAGGAACAGAGGAAGTTAGAATCTCTTGTTTATCAAAACAGTCTACGAGTTGAGTTTTATCCTCGAACAGGCCTGGTTTACTGTTTACTAAAATCACAAATCTCTGCAAAGACTCAAACCATATACGAAGCCTGAGATTGACCTGTGCTGAAAGGTCAAGGAAGTTGGTGATGTGTTGAAGATGGACACGGGATTCAGGAACACAAGTGCGAGTGAACATTGTTGTTACAATAATGGTCCTAAAGGAATTAGATATCTACCCGCACTAATTGCATATCAATCTAGCATTCTCATAGTAAGACGCGGTCTGTGAACTCGTTTAACCTTCGTTTGAACTTGTCAGTGATAGAAATCCCTTTTGCAGATGTTGACCATGAGAAATGGATTGAATTCGCATCCAGGCTACTCACCGGGGTCATTAGTGCCCCAGTCTGGTGTGGCCTTCGATGAAGGGAACATATTGCTCAATACAAGCAGACAAGCAGATACATTTTCTCAGGAACAAGAAATGTTTAGACAAACAGCATTTGATACTTCCCATCATGCTTCCTCGACCCAGCCAACTGTCATACCTTCCATGATAACAAACTCCAATTCAAAAATTCCAGCTGGCTTCATGTCACCTGCTCAAAATAATTACGGACTTCTCAATCATCTGCCATCTTCCAAGGTAACACTGTTCTATATTTGAAGTAAACCACAATCATTGATAATATATTTTGAGATTAGCACAATCTATTATGCATTTGGCGGGTGTTGACACCATGTTCCCCAGAATTTGCAGGATATTTGACGGGATGGTACACTCTCACGCGTCCAGTTGGACACAAGTTTCTTAGGTACAATTCATCACCAGGCGTGTCTTCATAATGAGTAGAACGACATGCATGATGTTATATTTGACTGCTGGTGACCATCTGAAATTTGAAACTCCCATTGTTTGAACATCTTAGAAATTGCAAAGTAGCCTGAAAAGTTCCAAGCATACTGACCTCTTAAGATTAACTGTGTCAATAAGGCTCTAGAGAAGCATGGGCTTCCATGTAATTATTGAACTCTTTTTAAATTGCTGAATCACATTTTTAGATTATCTTAATGTTCTTTTAATAGCGTTAATTGTCCTGGCTTGAGATGCTGGTTCACTTTGGCACCTCTAGTTGTGTGAGGTTTCACATTTTTCTGCACAAATTAGATTCTATTCTAGAGCGCTATGTTAGATTTTTGAGACGAATAATGTTATTTATCATCAATATCGGTGATGTGACAATATATGTGAAATAATGAAATTGGGAGTTCAATTTTTATGAGGGAGGGAGGAATAATGTGCTGTCGCATTATCGATATTTCATCATCATGATAAGAAATAGCGTTGCTTTTCTAATACCATCTCCAATGGTACACCAAATTTGGTGCAAGTATAAAAACCACTCCAATTCATTAATCCCCATTTTGCCCTTCATTTTCTTTTACACCAAATTTTGGTTCCATCTATATCCTTATTTTTGGTGTAAAATTTTACACCAAATTTGGTCAAAGCATCTCCCATACTTCTATTTTTATGTTGGCAAGTTGCCAGCAACAATGATAAATTTGTCATGAATTTGATTGCCCAATTTTCAAGAGTTCGTCATCAAGGATCTCGGATGGCCACACTATTTCCTCGGAGTTGAAATTAAACAAATTATTTGTATATGTTGATTGGGCCAGTTACCCTACAACGAGATAAGGTTCCCCTGCTTCGTTGCCACCAAGACTGCTCATCCTCGAAATCTCGTGGCCACCAATGAAATTTTCTTGCAATTGGGAGCATCCTTAAATCGGGGATCTCCTCTACACCCCCAATCAAAAACTTATCTCGACATGGAACTTTGTGATACCAACCTTGTTACGTGATTTCAATGCTGCATTCCATCCAATCCACGAACCATGTGCGTCTCAAGATTGGGAGGGGCGAAGAGATTTTGCCGACGTCGGAGTTTGATCCTCCACCAAATCTCTAATATCTAAGCTATACATTCTCCTAATGCATTACCAACATTAACTTGTCTCCTCGACGACATTTTTAAGAAATATCACTATGCACTTGTGACAAACCGATGCAACATAAGGCAAATAAATGGTACACATAGATTGTTTGAACTAAAACGAGAGAGGTTTCAATACTTTCATCAAATACCAAAGTTTACAGATATCGCCGCCATCCACACGTAAGAGAAACATATTGAAACTAACTTTTCTATTTGAATAATTATTTTCACACCACAGTTTTTTATTATCTACACCACATTAATTGCAATGAAGATCCTCAACATTTACTCATTTTTGTGCTTGTCTTCATTTTTTGTCGCATTTTTAACTTCAACCTTCAATTGATTAGCACATCTTATCTTTGATGACAAATTTTGTCCAAATATTCTAATAACGTGCACCGAAATAAAGGGCAAATATTTTGTTTGTTGTATATTTTGATTATTTAAAAGTACGAGAGACAAATAAGTATTTTTACGTTCTCCTAAGCCTTGTTTGGACGGAAACCATCATAAAAAACAAGACGCACAAACTAATGGAAGGTTGATGATAAGATTTTGACGAAACAATGGGGGACTTACGTGCAAAAATGAGAAAATATTAGAAATAGCCATTGCAATTAAAATATGATTTAGTTAACAAAACCCGTGATGCAAATATTATTACCATTACTATTTTCAGGACATCCCCCACTGGAGCCCCAATTTTAACCAAAAAAAAAAAAAAATGAGTTTTGTAATAGTGAGTTTTTAGAGATTATATTGTGAAAAGATAGGTATAGTTTTGGGTTTATTTGTAAATTATTTTATTTGAAAAATGTGTAGTTGAAAATGAATTTGAAGAAAAAGGAGATTTTAGATAATGGGATCAAACAAGGTTAATTTTGTCACTTTTGCCTTTCGTCTACAAGTTTATGAACTTATCTTTTACCTTATAGTAGAGATGTAGTCATAAGCAGTGTTCTAAAAGTTCGCGTCTAGGCCTTTTTTTTCTTTTA